AACCGGATCACCCGGAGAAAATCCTAACGTTACCTTCACCTACAAGACACCGACCCTTGCTCCGCGCCTGCGGAAGTTGCAGATGGCTCGGCCCGCAGACGAGAAGAACTTGGAGAAGAGGGAGGTCTTCTTTGTTTGTGCTATCAAGTGAAGTTTGACAGACGAGACGATGTAGTCTTCAAGTACTTGGTCCCCTAACTTCAAAAAGGCCATCACCATAAGTGTACCGTCCATCTTCTGGCATAGGTCCTTGAAAATGGTCTTCTCGAGGCCCTCGAAAGTTTCTGGAGTGACCTCAAAGTCGACACCCTCGACTTTGGGCCATATCCTTTCAAACAGAGGCTGAAAGACGGCCTTGTGTTCCTTGAAGGTAAAGCTCAACTTAAGTTTCGTGAATGCCCGTGAAACCAGCTTCTCCAGGAAAATCTTAAAGAACATTTTCCTCTTATCTTCCTGCACAGGAATCGCTGAAGGAGCTCTGTTCTGGTGGTCGACGTCCCGGAACCATGTTGGTGCACATGTTACTGTTGGTATTATTGGTGATGGTGTTGGTGTTGGTGATAGGGTCAGTGACTTGCCTTTTAAAGCTTGCCTAATCGTTTCAGCGAGCATGTCAGTCTGAGTGTCCTGCCACCACTCAAACAGTCCCAGGAAGTTCCAAATTTTGTCCCATAGCTCATCATACAAGACCATATATTTTGGAGGAAAGTTCACGGTCGATTTAGAGTTCTTGTCAGACTCAGACTCACTCCCTCTAGGTAGTGGGTTGTACGCGGGTGCCGTCATGTGCTTGAAGAGGAATTTACTCAGCTGCTGTGTGATCAGCAGGCGTTCATCCCTTGCAAGACTCCTGGACATCGGAAACACAGAAACCTGCTGTCCAGCCTGTGGATCTTCATCATCCAATATCATACAGGTGGATATGATTTTCTCTATGTCGAATAGCAAAACAGAGTCGTGATTAACCGTGGAATCTAGCTGGAATTTGGTCTTCAGTTGTTCCGTTATGCGATTCAGCCACATTTTGGCAAAACGCTTTGTAATAAAGCTCTTGAGTTTGCTGCATGTATTTTTCTTGGCCGACTCGCTCTTCTGTTCGTCATCGGTCTCCTCCGATTCCTGGAGTTCGTGAAAAAGGTCTTCATCAACATTTATTTCCAGAGAGGTGTCAAATTGCAACCTCTCAAAATCAGTGTGACAATTCTTCCAAGAAAGGGTCAATGATCTTATCCACCTCCCTTTGAATTGTTTCCTGAAAAGAATTATCACTGTCTAAAGATTCTTTAGACTCCTCAAATGGCAAGTCCAGGTCGATTATCACTAGGTCTCGGGCCAAACCTCTTTTCTGCCTTTGCGGTCGAGGTGGGAAGATCCTTTTCTTCTCCGCTGTGAATGCTTTTGTCATTTTTAAGGCGTGACAAACCATTGTGTCGAGTCTCCCGAGGGAAGTGATGTGCTGTGGGACACAAGACCTAATAGGGTTGGAGAGGATGGAATTGATACTGAGTGCAACCTCTTCATTGATCAGGTCTAATAAGTGTTCTGAGCTTTCACAATGGACTTGGCCTGTGATGCCCAGAACTGTTTTAAAAACCTGGATGACTGTGTCACACAGAGCGGTCTCGCCTTTTTCTTCAGGCTTTGCCGCATTGTGGTTCACGATGGCTTTGGACAAGGTTGTTATAATGTCCAAAAGCAGTTCTGCCATCAGAACGTCGATGGTGTTATGCGGGATGCTGGATTTCAACAGTGCCCACTGTTTTGATGTCATCCTAATAAAGAAGGACTCAATCAGTGGCTGAATTGTCAATTGGAAATCCATTGTTGAAGACATGGTGCTTGTTGTTTTATCAGAGCTGAAGTTCCTCAAAGTCTGCTAGTTTAAAACTGACAAGAAGTAGAAACGTTTGCTGCTTACCCAGACTTCAGCAACTGCCCACCTTCAAGGAATCAAAGCCCACTGGATCACAACACAGCCATGACGTCACAAAGCCATAACGTCACAAAGGAAAGCCAATTGGAACACAGCTGAAGTCAAACAAGTTCGCAGCCCAGCAACCGTTGCTAGGCAACCGATTGGCTACAGCTAACGTACAAAAGGCGATTGTCGGCGGTTGAAAATGATCGGGGTCCCAATTTGTTTTTTGCGGGAAACCCGAAAGTAATAATATTTCAAAATAAAAGTCAAGGCAATAGAATGACCGTATGCAAGAAATTCTTATTCTGTGATGCAATGCAAGTACATACCAGAGTAACATTAGAAGAAAATGAATGAATGAATGAATATAAATAAATAAACCTGGGCCGATGGGAGTGGGTTAGCAGCAGTAGTTAGTTGACTACATGCAGTTTAATATTAATGTATCCATGTACACAGCAAGAATCAACTTTTTGATTAACCGGTGCATTGTTTGCAGAGTGTAGCCTGTAAGGACACGCAAAGTAAGTGTTCACCCTTTCTACCACTAGATGGCAGCATAAGTGTATTTAAACCATAGATTTAGTCATATTTACCTGTGCCTTCGTTAATTATCTAGGTTATTAATACAGATGTATTTAATGTTGATTATTTCATCTGATATTTGATGTTGATGGTCAATTTACACTAGTTGTATACATCATGTATTTACTTGTTATATATGTGTCATTTAAGAACCAAACATTCCTACGTGGAAGAGTGAGCGTGTGTTGATTCAGATGACATGTATGAAACACCAGCCTTTGTAAGATCAAGGCAGAAATGGTTAGAGCAAGGTGAGCAGACGTCTACCCATTTCTTTAAGAAAGGTCATAAGCCAAATAAAATTATATCCTGCAGTTGAATATTGAGGGGACTGTTAGTGAGAATAGGGATATCTCAAAGTTTTGTTATAAATATTATTCTATTTTATACAAAACTAAGTTCAATGGGGATGCCTCGACAGCTTTTTCTAAATATTTGGACAGTGTCAACTCAATTAGCCACAAGAGTTAGTGTGATTCACCAATCACTTTAGAAGTTCAAGTTGCCATAAATCATCTAAAAAAAAAAAGACTAAGTCCCTACATTATCAATATCGATGGCCCAGCTTTTTACCAGAGCAACATTTAATTTAGAGAGACAATTAATACAATTTAAAATGTGTATTTATAGCTTTCAATGCAAAATGATCAGGTGTGTCGTGGTCAGTTATTCCCTGTGAGATAATTAGATGTGTGAGGTGAAAGTATCTTTCCATTCAGCGCACGCAAATAGATTCAAAATCCGAGTTGATCACCTGCACACTAACATCATTTTGTCCACACCTGAAATTTACTCTGTACAAAAAGGCTATTTTTATTTTATTTTTTATTAAAGACAATTTTGTGCATGAAGGCCAAAACATATGTCTGTTCCTAAATACACTTTTGCTTAAATAATACATAAATTACAAATTGTATGAAATCAGACCAAATAAAAAAACAAAAAAACCTTCAATTCACACTCTGTCAAGAGAAACCCTGACTGTGATTGGTCCATATTCTGTTTTGTAGTCTTCTCTTTGACTGAATAAACACTGCTCACCCACCAACACTCAAAACTACATCTGAAAAGTCCCAAACATTTTATTTCCGTAGTGTCATTTCACCTTAATAATTACACTAAAATCACCAGCATTTCTTCAACTTTATTTAATGCAGCCTTTTTCAATATACAAGTCTCAATAAGCATGATTAAAAGATCACAATGGCTTTATTATGTCTGTGTTAAAGAACTTCCCATATCCTATTATATTAAAATATTTCATATATAGAGTCCGTATTTAAACAGAGGTTTAATAATAAAAAGTGACTTCCCATACAAGGCAATTATAGAATTCAATTAGATCGGGAGTCTCATAAATTATTAGAACATCGGAAACAGAAATGCTGAAATGAACCAAGAGAACAGCGCCGTCGTCACAGAGGTGCTGTGAATGACCAGAGAGAGAAAATAAAGATGACAAAGAGCTTCTGAAGGACAGATCAGACCAATGACAAACGACTTCCCGCTGCCGAGTCCACACATTCAACGCAGCGAACACCGTCTACAGATGTTTCTCACACACACACACACACACACACTTATAATGACTGAGAAATTTGTAAAAAATAAGCACACGTTCCGTCCTTCGGGTACGATATGAAGAGTGTTGTTAGAGCTCAGGCGTCCTGCGAACAAATAGTCCCGGGGACGCTCTATAACAGTCTTTAAGTGCAGGCATACCAACCTTCCCCATGAACCTAGTCTGACGCATACACACGCTTCAAAGACGACCGTGCCTTTTGAACAAAAACACTTCAGTTTGCCTGGACTGTATCTGAATGATACCTCAGTAAGACAGCATTGTTCTATGAGAATAAACACTGATTCATTCAATCATTGACATACATAATCACCCCATCATCATCATCTTGGATTCACTCTCCGTCCTCGCACTGTCCGCCGCATCGGTTTGATTTGTGTGACGATAAGAGTTCACGACGGTTCAGCATTTTCTTCAGAGCGATGGTGAGAGACCACAGCTGGAGATGGAGCAAGAGGCATTCTCGAGTCTGACTCGCACCGCTTTCACACAAACACCAAATACATGCACACACACACACACACACAGATGAGCGTCCTTCCTTCAGTGTTTCCTCGTCTCCACAGTCCCACTGAAGATTATTTGGAGATTTGCTGTTGGAGGTGGAGCAGGAACTCGTAGTATGAAAGGGCCGACTCTGTCCGGTCCTCGATCATGTTCTGCATAAAGGTCGGTTTCAGCTGGCTCTCGTCCCTGAGAGGGTCAAAGGGCAAAGAGAGAGAAGTCGTCAGCTGAAGTTCTTTCATTTCAAAGTGCAGACGAAGGGAATACAGGCATCGTCTTTCATTATGAAAATGTAGAAGATCTTCTAATTTTCCCACTAACCTTAATTTTTGTAACTTTGTCGTTTTGTTTTGTTACAGCAGCTAGTCCACCAGGCTCCAGACTATTTTATCACCACTGTCCCAAAAATCATTTAAAGCGCTATGAAGTCAAGTGTAAAATATTAAATTCTAAATGTTATCCTTTCACTTTGTTAAAATCATCTATAGCGGTTATTTGCATAAAAGCACACAATTTAAATGATCAGGGAATAAAAGACAGTATTATTATTGGTAAAAACAATCTTGGAATAAGCTGTTTTAATTATGTTTTATTAGTTGATGATAGCTAGTGTCATAATTCACTCTCTCATATCCATTTGGTTTTGCTGTAAAGACATCTCCCTCAAACAACTATATTCATTCAAATGTCTCTCATTTCCAAGATTACATTCGCCCAATACTCATTTATACTGAATACAGCCTGAACGCATCATAATGGAACCATCGTACGTTAGCAGTGCTGCTATCGCTGGAAGCTCTCCTAAAGGAGCTGCTCAGTTTTCAGATTCTATCAGGACTTTATCAGCCATCTGGGTTCCGACGGGTTCACTCAGTGGAACAGAAGGTGAGCGTGAGATGACAGTGGAGTACCTGCCAAAGTTAAAGTCTACCAGCAGCTGTCGGCTGGTTTAAATTTCCCCAGCACTCTTTACTCTCTTATATACGGGATGTTGCACACCTGATGACATGCAGGGAGGGGAAGAACGGCCTCTGATCCCTCAGCCACCCGATGAAGGCTCTGGTTCTCTGCGACTCGGCGGTGTCCAGCTCTGGGACCAGATACTGTGAGGAGGAGAGAGCGGAGGAGGATGCAGTGAGTGACGATCGCTCAGTGACAAGGTGACACAGCAAGTAACAGTGGAAAATATTGGGATGACTGGGGTTGTTTTTCTAGCAGTGGGCTTAATATGAACAAACACCTAGCATCAGGCTGTTAAGGACTAAATAACGGTCCTTACCAGCTGAAACATGACTCAACATCCCATTCAAAACTGACAACTTGTTTACACACGAAATCTTTGAGACGCGATTGTTATCCTCCTCACCTCATCGGTGAGATCGTCGACGCGGTACAGAGCAGGGTGGATCATGAGCATGGAGTAGACCAGTGGCTGGTACTTCAGCTGACACATGGCAAACAACCGGTCATCCAGCCTGGTGCTGGTGCCCGTCCTGAAGGCTTTCTGCAGGGGTGCACATGCAGACGCGTGAAACTGGATCAGTAAAGGCTCGACGGAGCAGGAAAGCAAACAGAGAAGACTTTTCCTCCGAGTCTAAAACACATGAAGGTTTATTGTCAGTAGTTGTAAGGGTGTAGCGTCTGTCCGACCTGTTTGAGCAGCGCGAGGATGAAGAGGGGGAAGAGTCTGAGGCAGGCCGGGGCCAGCAGGCCGGGCTGCTGGATGGTCAACACAGACTGCCGGAACGACGTCAGCGAGTCGATGGCAGCGTTGGTCATCGCATCTCTGGCATCGCCCATACTGGCCGTCGCCGAGCGGTCCACAGCTGGGGGGGGGGGAAGAGAAAGAGAGAGAAAGAGAGAGAGAGAGAGAGAGAGAGAGAGGCATTAGAAAACGTCTCCAAATGAGGTGCCAGTGACCCCTTGTGATCACCTCTCACTTCATCTATTGTTTGTAAATCAGCGTGATGCAGCAAAGCACCTCCTGTGCATAGACAGCCAGAAAAATAAAATAGAAGAAATCAACACAATACAGCCGTTGTCTATTCCTTGGCGTGTTCCAATCAAACCAAATTGGCCAAACACTCGTGTCGCATCCCTCTGTGGACTTGTCAACATTTCAGTTGAGTGCAGGATTTTAAAATCGGACTGTGGTAGATACAAGCAGTGGTAACAACCCTAATTGCGTCGAGGTGAGACTTAGAAACATCATTTCAGTGGCGTCTCAATCCATGTCTTTAATGTGAGGAGGTCAGGAGGAGTTCACAAAGAAGAATACTGCTTTGTGTACAAACTTGTAAAGTTGCTAAAGTGGGATTCTTTAAAAGTAAGAAGGAACAAACATGTGCCATATTGCTGATATTTCTTCATCTGTTCTTGCAGTGATCCGACTGCTCAGTTTGCAACGGTCGCTACGGAACCGCAGCTGTCGCCACTCGTCGCCATCTGTCAGTGTTAATAAGAGTTAAGGGGATTAAAAACTTGATTAAATAATTACTCACAGGACTAGAACATCTCGTTTCTCTATTTGTTTTCATATTCTGTTGAAGGAAGAAAGTTTCTCTGTGCTTGCATTAAATCTGATTTTAAACATGTGCACGTATGAGCACGGTTTTGT